AAGGAAGGAAGGAAGGAAGGAAGGAAGGAAGGAAGGAAGGAAGGAAGGAAGGAAGGAAGGAAGGAAGGAAGGGGAGGCAGAGGATGTCAATAGCTCAAGGAAAAAGGGGTCAAAGGAAAAAGAAAAAGGAAAGGTAAGGTAAGGAAAGGAAAGGGGAAGGAAAAGGGAAGTAAAAAGAAAAAGAAGGAAATCAAGGACACTAAAATATTGCACAGGGACTTAGGCACATCTCTTCTGTCTCTGTCAAAAACTGCAATAACAGACAAATAATTTAGCATAATTTTCTTGTCTTCTTTATGTGAAATGGAAAATGACGTTTTATCTCTCTTATGTGTTCACATGCTACAGCTATTGATGCCTATGAATCATTTTGGAAAGACAATCATAAAATAAAAGACTAGAATAAATGCCAGCATTCTGAACTTCACAAACAAGTGTTTCCTCTGTATCTGTGAGTTCAGGGCAACTGGGTATTGAAAACTGTTAGACCATTTTCTTATGGTCTCTAAACAATAAACATGTATTTAATTTTTCAGAAGCAGAAGTTTGTACACTACACAAAATAAGTCTTTTTTTCCATACAGAAATACCCAAGAGCTTTTCAGGACTGGTATTGTTCCATTGATAGAATTCAAGTGGTACTGTGATCTGAAATTCTTTCTGCCCTGGGGCTGCTCTAAGAGATATCTTTCGTCTTTTGCTGCAATGGCAAAGGAAAAGCATCTCTCAAGCTGACTTGATTACGTGGAAAGGGAGAAAAGGCCACTATTAGGAGATTGATCATGAAAATTAATCTGGTCTCTGATAAAATACATGTGATGAACTGCTGTGCACAATACAGAATTACTGTTTTACAGACTTTTGAAAGCAGGCTAAAGAGATATTTCCCTGAGAAACACCGTGGTGGGAAGACTCCATAGCTCTCTATGCAGTAGATGATTCTTAAACAGCATTAATTGGAAATTCTCACCTCCTCTCTTGATGAAGACAGTCTGTGTGTTAGATCTTCTGATTTCCGATACCAGCTACATTCGCCATTCTCACAGAGCTGCTGCCAGTTCAGTTCTGTTTGCATTTTACTCTGTTTCAGAATCCATTCTCGCTCAGCTGCCAGAGACAGTTGTTCTTTAGACCTATGATACACAGAGCAAAGCTGTTGATTTCAGCAGAATAAATACTAAGGATGTTTTGTGGATATTTTTTTTGTTTGTTTGTTTGGGTCTGGTTTTGTTTCATTTAATCCAGCTTTGTTTATTGTCCTCATCTTCTTTCCTTGTTCTATTTTAGAAATTATCTATTTTATTTTGTTCTATTCTACTCTCAGCATTTTACTGAACAAAAACATTTTAATTGCTTAGAGCTCAATGGTCTCTGAGGGTCCATCTGTATGCTTTGGAAATCACCTCAGCTCAAGCAGCATAAAATGCCCTCCAATATCAATACTACTCTCAGTACTTCCATCCAGAGCATGCTTCTGTTTTGCTGCTATCAGAAATGAGATCTAAAAAGCTAGGAATTAAAATTGCTGCATTGTCAGAGTAAAATTTCTAGGCTAAAAGGCTGCTGCATTTACATATCTTGAAAACAGAGTGTAGAAAGAGATAGAAGGTGCAAGTAGTAGAGAAAGAGTATTAGAGATCTCTAGTCAAGAACTCAAGTCAGAAAACGGCAAAGATCAAAGATTTCTTCTGAAGTGCCATCAGAGTTTGAACTGCATGGCATAGAGTAAGCAACATGCACAAATTTATATTTAATAAGTATACATGCAGTTGTGGTTCTTTTGTTCTTGCTGAGTGAACAGCACTTGGTCATGCAAGCTTTATAGTCAAGACTGCAACAGCACAAAGTGGTTTTAGATTCATTATTACAGCAGTGTCCTTTACAGAACACCCAAGACAAGTAAACAAAACCAGAAACTGAACTCCTGTCGTGCAACATTCAAGATGCCAGAATCCATGGATACTGCTAATGGCCAGGTAACATTTTGCTACCCTTAAGGTAAAGTTTATAGGCAGAAATAATTAATTTTATTACACAAAAACCAACACAGCTGTAAAAAGATGACAAACTTCTAGGTATACCAGCCCTCTTCCTGAAAGCTTGTCTGTTTTCTTCAATGGTATCAGTTGGTTTAATGTGAGGGGTTTTTTCCCCTCTACCTACATAACTCAATTTGTCAAATTGTTAAAGTATCAATTACAACACCACTGAAGCACGTGAATATGGGCATCAGAGAACAATCCAAGTAATACTGGATGATGATTAGCAAACACTGCATATACAGAGATTTTTGAAGGGTGAATTCCTCATTACTAGCCTTGGAAGGATGACAGAGGTCTTTCAAATACCTATATACAGTTTTTGGTTTCACAGGAAAAAAACAGTCACTATGAATGCATACCACAAATACCCAGGCTTCCTGCTATCCTGGAAACAATTCAACACATAGGTGGAAGAAAACAGCAAAAACAACAGTCATATTTTCATGTGTTTCACACAGGAATGACTTCAGATTATAATACACTCATTCATTCTGTGAGTAAAGGGTAACAGCTTAAAATAAGTTACTTTAACTTCATGGGACAGAACTAAGTAACCCTTTTCAATTGTCTACTTGTGAAACTCACATTCTCTCTTTTTAATACCCACATCAAATCCAGCAAGCACTTCCTACAAAGGGAGTAACAGATAGGTAACACTAGAACAATGGTACTGATAGAAACACTGGATTGTCTCAGACCTTTCAAACACTGTATGAGAAGTTTAATCATCACATAATCTTTCTCCATTCTAAGAAGAATCAGACTGTGCTGAATGAAACCTATAATCTGGTCTATGGTAGGTCTCCTACTAGGACTTGTACAGCAAAGGGGAATGTAAAGAAACAAACCGGCCAAATAGTATCCTTTGCAAAATAAGATCAGATTTCATAATCACTGGGGAGAGATGAGAGAAAAAACCCCTTGTTTTACAACCCCCCCCCCCACTATCTTATTGACATTAAAGTTCAATTCCTTTGCAGCCATCTAGCACCTGTAGTATGTCAAATACTATGCATTACAGAAATAACCTTATTTTGACTTCTAAAGTAGCAGAAAGGTGCTATATCTCCCAGTGCTAAAAGTTATGGGTATATTTTATTTCTCTTGTTTTTGCTTTTTTGAATATAAAATAAAATATCCTAACAGAAGTTAAATGTATATTCTAAGCACATGAATAAAGGGATATTGATTATAGTGTACAATCTACTATAAGCTGCGAGGACATCTATCTTCTTACGTGCACACGTATATACGTATGGATATATTGGTGATAAAAATTTAACTGTTTCCCTCTGGTTTTGCAGAATGACAACAGAAAGAGCATAAGAAGTAGTCACTATGAAATCACATGAAAAAAACTTAAAGATACATCATTCCCTTGTCTAAGCTTTTTAAGTTATGCAAACAATTCAGTATTATTAGAAGGGAAAGCTTTGGCTGTGGTAAAGATGCCTCTAAAGTGTATACTTGCAGAACTACTACAGAGGTAAAAAACCAGAGCCTTACTGAAAAGTTGCTAGAAAAATACTACCATGTTTTCCACTCTGAAGATGAAGTGACAAGAAGGCTGCTGGGAGACAGGATGCTATGGAAAAGACTTCTTCTCTTCCTCCTCACCCTCCTCCCCTTATAGCCATTGAATTTTAATTTAAAGGAAAAGAACAAAACCAGTCATATTGTTTGTTATGCTTGGAAAAACAAAAATTTGTTGTTAGAAGACTTTACATTTCAAACCCAAGTAAGAAGAGTACTACAGAATAAACATTCTACTGTGAAATTCTTCCAAAGTAACATTGCAAGTTACTCCAAAACATGAAAACTAAAGATATCACTGAACAAGTGTGAAATTCTTGCCTCACAACACCTATGTTTTGTAAGTGCATGAAAAACTGTTCCTAAAGAAGCCACGGATTTTCCAGAAAATTAAATGGCTGTAGTGAGCTGCCATCCAGTGGCTAAACTGATAAAGTATTTTAAAAAGTGTTTGAGAGAAACTACTTTGATGAATTAAATTGATAAACTACAACTAAAAACAAAAGAATGAGATCACAAGAGATTTTGTCTAATTGATACAAAATCATGTTAGATTAGGGGGAATAACTGCAGGAGATCCAGTGGCAAACACAGAAGAAGTTGTAAGCTTAAACAATAGAGATAACTTTTTTCCTTCTCCAGCGTGATAAGAGAAATCATGTGCATTAGATGATGTAGCCTAATGCTTGTGCACAGCAGCCAATTAACTTTATCACTGCAGTTCAACCACAGAATGCACCATGACTTCCAAACCAAGTCAGTTATCAAATATTCTTCAGGTTCACATACTTCTTAGGGTAGATTCATAAACTGTCTTTGGGAAGCCCGTGAGAGAGTCCTGGATGAAGATTTGTTATTTTAGCAGGACTACTATGCTGAGGGCAGCAACACTTGGATTGGCAGCTGTTGGGTGGAAGATGCAATTGCTTAACAATACCACTTCCAATTATATTATATATTAGTTTGGTTGACTGGACAAAAATTAAGTGTTCTAGTTCTAAAAACTAAACACATTCATATGTAAATTAGTAAAAGAAATTCCAATATCAAATACATTTTTATACAAAAACAAAGAAGGAAAGTTTTGTTGTTCTTTAAAGTTTGTTATATAAGAAGAGGTAGTAAAATGCCTCCCCAGGGTATCACAGTTGAAGATCAAATTTCACTGCTTGTAAGACGATCCTTTTATGGTGGAATGATAGGAACATAAGAAGCAGAAGGGGGGAAAAAACGCCTGGTAATTAGGAGTATGATAAACAGTGTACATTTATCCATCTTGCCTAAGGCTACCTCTGCTTTCTAGATGCTGACCTTTCCTGTAGTTTCAAGGTTAACGGATTCAGCAGTGTGCTTGCTACATTAAATAATCTTACACTATCTCATATTACTAAACATATTCTTAGCAATTCCTTACAAGGGGCAGCTATCAAACCAGCAAAGCAACAGCTACCACACAAGCAAGGCATAATTTTCTGAACTGTAATTACAAATGTAATCAATGTTTAGAAGAATAAAACAATAGGCCAAAAAAAGGGCTTATACAACCATAGCAATGTTAAACAAGAACATGCTAATTTAAAAAAATAAAATTAAAAAAATTATTGCTAGATGGCACTGCAGCAACACAACATTGCTTGTCTAACATTCTTATACCAGTTTCTGACATCACTGTCTTCCAGTTCTTGAATCTTTTCCTCCATGTGAAGTTACAGGTTCACATAATCCTCGTGCAGATGATCTATGTGACTATTCCTAGAGCTGTAAACAAAAATAAATTTACATTAAGAAGCATGAGGGATCCACATGTAAAATTTCTGTAACAATAACATGTAACTATTAATATAGGATGCTGTAATTTCCTAAAGAAACAGGCACCATAACATCTTTTCTCATAACCTAGTGGAAACCAACTAAAACAGTATATGTTATTTCCCGAAACGATCCTTCAAAAGGTTAGTTGCATAGAGACTATAGAGGATCTGATGAAACGCAGTGCAAGACCCCCACTTAAGTATGGCTGAGTTCCTCCTCCACTCAAAAGTTTCTGTTACATAAGAAAAAAAATTGCAAAACAAGGGCTGACCAGCAAAAATTTAATCTTTTAGATACATTTTAAAAGAGAAGAAGTTCTGTATCTTTTCCCCTCCTCTCCCAATATTTTTAATTGCCATCAACAAAAAAAGTTTCTCTGTGATCCAGTGGAAGAATACCAGTAACGTCAGGATTTCAAACAAATCTTGATACTGCTACCAAGACCATAAATTCTCTAATGATACACTGAACCTTTGAAGCTCTGCCTTAATCCCTTAAAGATTTAACAGGTTTGCTGCAGCCTGTAACACAGCCAAACAAACCTAGATTGCTATCATGCTGTTCTGCAACTTTTTATTTACTTTCAACTCTATATTACATGTTTTTTGTGTACCTGAATGACCATTGCATTTGATAAGACTAATCATATAATACCTACAGAGACAAAACTCTGAACTAAAACTGGAGAGTAGCAAACAGCTAAATGCATATTCACTTTCATATTCTGCTAGACTTTGCTTATAAATTTACACTTAGCCTGAAGTAATCTGAATCCTATAGCCAGCACTTAGGTATACAAACCAAGTCTATCAGAAGTGCTGTCTCAGTGTAGACTGCATTGTTTGCACCTCCCTCGTTCATGCCCAAACCCTTAAGGGCAAGGCAGATTAGAAGAATGATTGCTGTACTGTGATCAGTATCCAGCTCAGCCTGGCAAAGATGCAGTTGCTGGGTTTAAGAAACTCTGACTCCTCCTTCCATTCCCAAAGGATATGTTCCATGTAAAACTCCTGAACTGGCTTTAAATGTATTTGCATATACACCACATTAACATCAATCGTTTAGTAAACTTTGATGATTTCCAGTCTTGCCCAGATTACCCACAATAACAAAAACAAAAAACAAAACAAAACGAATTAACACTTACCCAGCCATCTCTACACTACAGATGTAATTGGATCCAGCCGTTTAGAGCATTCTAAACAATCACCACTTTAAGCAGAGAATAATCCCAAAGAAACTGTTATTTCTGAAGATTGTAGTTACATTAAACAAAAATTATGTGCAGACAGAACTCAAGGAATAAGCGTTTATTCCCTCCACCCTGCAAGCTGCACACATATTTCTCTTTTCTTTGAGATATGTATGATGAGTTAAGGCACAGTTCAACCTTCTCTTTTATTAACAATATTAACTGCTGTGTCCGATTTTTAGCGTCTGCTTTTAGTTTAAAAAGAAAATAACCAACAGAGACCCTGTGCTTTTACAGGCAAGGCCCTTTACTTGCTTCACATCCACCTCTTCCTATTGTTTATTCTTCATATTTGCCTCATATCTAATTATAAATTCTGTAGAAGAAAAAAGAACATTGTTTTTAAGCAATATGGATGCTTTAAAAAAATATTATTTCTGTTCAGCTCTCTCCAAAGATTCGGGAAAATTTCCGGAGTCAATATAGCTTCTCTCACTGTACAATATTATTCTGTGTCACTGGTTGCAGATAATCACTTTCGAATAAGCACAGGGATGGAGAGAACAAATCAGACACGCATGCCTTTCAAATAGTGGCTCTTTAATCTCTTTAAATGAAAAAAAGATTTTCAGACCAGAAAATGCTATGCAATATCTCTATGCTAAAGGAGGTCATAATTTAAATTACATTTTTGTTCACAAACCACCTAGACAACTCTAGTTCTCTAGGATCAAAATATGAGTCACTGATCATTGGATGTAAGAAGTATAAAAAATTCAAGCTTGCTCTTCCCAGGTATACAAACCTGGGAACAAACTGTGCTAAAGGACACGATGATCGGGTCTTCCAATTCTGCTGGCCAAGATTTCACACTTATCCCTAAGTTAATTAAAATAGTGTTTTTTCTTCATATTCTGATTCTTGTTGGCAATGTTCAAATCATGCTACCATGCCTAGATAATGTAAGTAATATCTTCTTCATTTGAGTAAGAAGAAGTAGATGACTTTTTAAAAAAAGTCACTATCGTGGATATTCATGAACTGTACTGCCTCCCTGCCTGTAACATGCAACACTGAAAGATCTGCTCTTTCTGTATCATACTTTTAGCTGCTTTTCAGTTGTTCCAAATGCATCAGGTGGCTACCACAGTTAAAAAAGATTAACTAAATTTGAAGTGCACAGAGGGAGGAAAAGACAGTCGAGTGTCGGCGAAAGACAACACTGCCAATAGAACGACTGGACCCAAGGAAGGATTCCATGGAGGGACCTGAGGGTCAGATGTTCTGCGACAGAAGAGCAGATGGCGGGCTGACTGTCGAGGTCAAACCCGTTAGATGAAGGCAGTAGAGAGGAGCACAAGGTAATGCTTTGGACTCAGGGACAGCACAAGAGAGGGCACTTAGCAGGAAGGGTGCAGAAAGACAGTGGGTCCCCAGAGAGAGAAATGGGCGCGAGATTCGCAGACCACGCGTCAGAAGCTCCGAAGGACAACCTGCAGCACAATGAGATGCTGTGAGACCGCACTGCCTTCTGATGGAAAAGCCCAGTCGCGACTCGTCTCCTGACGGCACGAACCTCCACGTCCCTCCGCTCCCGGCCTAGGCCGCGCCCGTGTCCCGAGGCGGGCCCGTCTCCATGGCGCCGCCGTCGCCGCCGCTCCGCCTCCTCTCCGGGCGTGGCTCGGGGCGGCAGCGCCCGGCCCCGTCTGCCTCCTCTCCGGACAGCCAGCCGCCGTTTCTCCGTTCCTCGCTTTGCATTCCGTTACGGGAACCCGGCAGCGTAATCTCTCCTTCTCACCTTCTCCCCGTTCCATCGTCACTACTCTGACACAGCAGCCTCTTCTCTGCATCGTGAGGGCACGGGCACGCTCCATTGCAGCCCCGGTATCTTTTAGTAAGACTCCCTTCGCCCAAAACACAGCTAGTACTTGTCCCATACTCTGAGATGTCACTCTCTTGTTCACTTGTTTTCTTATACATGTTGTTTATCCAACTGTTTAGAATGAAACAATTTCTCCTTGGCGGAAATCAGGAAGGAGACTCATGGACCCTCTCAAGTATAGCCGTTAGAAATGTGAACAAACTTCCCATCTGCTCAGGACTCCCACTGCATCACGTGAAAAACTTTAAAAAGCTTGCAAAACAAACTCAGGCCAACTGCAACACGAGGTCATGCAAAATAGATAGATACATTCTGCTACCAAGTCACTTAATTATTAAAAACTGTATCCATCAAATAAACTGCCTTACAGTGTCTAGGTGAGACAGAGGAAGATGCAACTCATGAAGCAGGCCTAAAGCATAATTTTCCCTTAGTCACTCTAGATGACTTGCTTGTCTGGAAGTCATGAGGCAAACTTCCTGTAGGTGTTCC